GTTAAATTATACTAAACCACCACATCCACTCAGAGCAAGCAAGCACCTTAAGACCAGGGGTGCAGCAAGTGCTCATTTACTGGAAAATAAAGATGAGCTGTAGTGTAATGAACTAAAGCCATTACTGCCATTTTTGGTGAATTACACTTAACTGTGACAGTCCTTGAGACAATCTCAAAAATAAACTAATATACAAAGAGAAAGGGGAGGAAAGTGTGTGAGGAGACAAGCTACATTGTTGACAAGCTACATTGAAAGTGTGTGAGGAGACAAGCTACAAGTTCTAATAAGAGTGATCAAAGAAAGGCAAAAAATACCTTGAGATTATTTTTTGCAGGTATCTAAGGACACTAGAAACTCAGATCAGATTATTAAAACTTCACTAAGATGGAGACCTCAGTAATGATTGTGAGTAGGATTTCTGGGTCAGTCTAAGATGATTAATTGCTTGTGATGCCTGAAGAAACACAAGAGAGTCCATGCAGCAAAAGAGGAAATTCAGATTCCCCACGGCACCGTGAGCATATGCTTTACATTCTGGCAGTACAATGGCTAAGCGAACTTGCTTTATTTGTGTAGCCCCTGGGGTGCTGAGAAAGATGGCAGGCAAGGGGTTAAGTAGTGGCACTGTGGTTTCTGGAAGGGAAAGGCATGGCTCATTAACTCGCTGGAATTCTTTGAGGATATGAACACCAGGGTGGACATGGGAAAGCCAGTAAACGCTGTATTACCGAGATTTTCAAGGTCCATTAAACACAGGTCCACATCAGAGGTCAGCGGTGATAGACTGGATGATAGAGGGAGGTGAAAATGGCCCTCAGAAGTCAAGGGCAATGGGAAGTGAGTGAGCATAGTGGGTACCTCACCGGAGCAATCTACCTTTCTACATTCTCTCCTGTTATATTCTGTAACTGGCCACAGTGGCCCATCTGCCACAGGAGGGTAATGAATGTGTGTTGACACTTCAGAAGTCTGACCCATCATTTCCAGGTGTTCAGGTTCTCCCAGGGGTAGGAGCTTTGATTTTCCAACCCTTCATTGACATTTACAAAAATACCATGATATAAGCTATGAATCTGTAATTTAATCACAGAATCACAGAATCACAGAATGATTGAGGTTGGAAGGGACCTCTGGAGATCATCTAGTCCAACCTCCCTGCTCAAGCAGGGTCCTCTAGAGCACATTGCACAGGATCGCATCCAGACGGGTTTTGAATATCTCCAGGGAAGGAGACTCCACAACCTCTCTGGGCAACCTGTGCCGGTGCTCTGTCACCCTCATAAGAAAGAATTTTGTCGTCATGTTCAGACAGAATTTCCTGTGTTTCAGTTTCTGCCCGTTGCCTCTTGTCCTGTCACTGGGCACCCCTGAGAAGAGTCTGGCCTCATCCTCTCGACATCCCCCCTTCAGATACTTATACACGTTGATGAGATTGCCTCTCAGTCTTCTCTTCTCCAGGCTCAACAGGCCCAGCTCTCATAGGAGAGATGCTCCAGCCCTCTAATCATCTTGGTAGCCCTCTGCTGGACTCTCTCCAGGAGTGCCATGTCTCTCTTGCACTGGGGAGCCCAGAACTGGAGCCAGTACTCCAGGGGAGGCCTCACCAGGGCTGAGGAGAGGGGCAGGATCACCTCCCTCGACCTGCTGGCAATACTCTGCCTAATGCAGCCCAGGATCCCATTGGCCTTCTTGGCCACAAGGGCACACTGCTGCCTCATGCTTAACTTGTTGTCCACCAGCACTCCCAGGTCCTTCTCGGCAGAGCTGCTTTCCAGCAGGTCAGCCCCCAGCCTGTCCTGCTGCATGGGGTTATTCCTGCCTAGGTGCAGGACCTTGCACTTGCCTTTGTTGAACTTCAGGAGGTTCCTCTCTGCCCACCTCTCCAGTCTGTCCAGGTCCCTCTGAATGGCAGCACAGCCTTCTGGTGTGTCAGCCACTCCACCCAGTTTAGTATCATCAGTAAACGTGCTGAGGGTGCACTCTGTGCCCTCATCCAGGTCATTGATGAATACATTGAACAAGACTGGACCCAGTACTGACCCCTGGGGGACACCGCTAGCTACAGGCCTCCAACTAGACTGCACCACTGACCACAACGCTCTGAGCTCTGCCATCCAGCCAGTTCTCAATCCATCTCACTGTCTAGAAGTTTGAAAGTGTCCAGGTATGTAGCACAGCCATTTCACTTCCTGAGGTTCACCTGACATAGGCCTGCAGCCTAAAATACTGTACACAGTAACTACAGCACCATCTCCTTTAAATGCAATACCATATGGTTGCCCTTATTACCAACTGTCCAAGCAACTCCGAGCCCAGGATTGCTCTGTTATCCCCATTTTATAAAGGCAAACTGAGGCACAAAGAATAGATTCCCCACAGAAAATGAACTCAGCATCTTTTTATCCAAAAGATCAGTGATTGGGAAATTCATTCACAAAATAGGAAAAGTTGATTTCAATTCCTTTCTCTGTCTTGGGGAGTTTGGCAAGTGCTATCCTGGTGACAATATTCCACTTTGATGTATAAAATTAATTAAACTTGGAAGCAGAAAGCAGAGTTAGGCATAACCTTCTACAAGAGGGATTCACAGTAGCCTGGTAAAGAAGTATTCTCCATTCTCTGATCTCTACCCATGAGAGTATTTAAATGTTATATGTGAGATAGTGCAAAACAGAAAATTGAGAGCAGCCAATTCCAAAGCTCTGCGTGCTCAAGATATTCTTCTGTGGAGTAAGAAAAATGGATTTGACCCCTTCCCACCATGAATCTGACTCTTCTATATTCTGGATGAGTGTTTTAGCTCTGTTGGTTTATAGAGTTAAAGGTAAACCACTGATTCCTGCCCTGTGAATCTTAATTGTTTTTCCCAAAAAAACTATTCAGCAGTTTTGGGACAAATACAGAAATAGTTACAGAATGACTTAAAGTCTTTTATTTATGGTAGCTCAAAGGATTGTATTTTTCTTCTTTTTTAGTGAAAACCTTTTAGAAATGCATGGCCCTGAGACAAAAGGAGCTAGAAGCTACATGAAAGTGCAGCACGTGCTGTAAGGACTCTGTTTACTTCTATGACGCCCTGTTATCTAGGGCAAGGCTGAGCTGGGCTTGTCTGCTCAATTTTGAAAAGAGACGTACATAACCCACTCCTTTGTCTTGCAAGCTTCGGCTGGGAGATTTACAGCAAAGCTAGCAATGCTATGGGAGGATTGTCCATCAGTTCATAACATGGGCTCAGCTGTGATTTACACTCAAAGCAGGTATTTCAATCCCTTGGTTGCATATGAAGTACACTCAGATTTACCGCACTTGTTCTTTCCTCTGGTCAAAAATATTCATTTGGGAAAATCATATACATAAATTCATTCATTTATAGCATTTTTAAATTAGTTTTGCAACATATCTCTGAGGACACAGCACTCCGGATCTGAAAATTTGCTGTCCCTTAATGACCGAGGTTGAGGCAAATATCTCATTATAAGGGAAAATACAAGGCTAACAAAACTGATCCCACTGATCTCATCTTGTCACTCTGTTCCTCTACATCCTCAGCAAAATGCATTCGATATCCCCACTAAAGCACAGCACCTGGCAGCTCATCTGGGATTCAGGACCTGCCTTCTGCTTTATTACTAAATATCAGCCATAAAATTCATCCCAGGTCAATTGTCAGTCTCTGCATTTGGAGTTGCGCTGGCTCAGGGACAGGAACTGCTCTGCAGTGTTGTTAGCGTTGCCTTCCCAGATGAAGCCACCTCCTGCTGGTTGGCCTGATCTCTGACGATACTAGCATCACCCGTTGCTCAGTTTTGCTCCCACCCTGCAAGTGCCAGGAGAAGGCAGCTATGGGTTCTTCAAACACAACTTTCCTCAGCCAGAGAAGGAGAACTGTGGGGATGCTTCGACCCTTCCCCACCCCAGCCACCCCAAAGCATGCCAGGAAGGCTTGGTTGGTCCTATCCCTCCACACAGCGATCTCCACACATCTGGTGTGACAGATGAATCCCCCCTCTTCCTCTGGGGATGCTAGCCCCGTCCTAATGTACCCAGCCATCTTGCAAGCAAGTCCCTCTGTCTTCAGCTCTCAGTGAGGCTAGGGGAAAGCTCTGGGCAGTTAGAGCTTCTGGTTGTTACTTACTTGCTTTGTCAGCACTTTGCAAAACTTAAGAAACAAGTATGCCTAAGTGAGGGAGGAGCACATCCTAGAGCCCTGCAGGCTAAAGCAGTGTGGTGCAGACCTCAGGAACACCAAGTTTAATGCCAGAAGCGCTGTGACTGAAGTCACAACTTCAACAGCTAGATAACAAGCAGGATGTCAATAATCCATTGAACACTCCACAGGAAGCTGCAGAAGCATTAAAACGTATTTTACCTTTTTTTCCAAGTGCTATTTTGATTCATTTAGCATTTGCTTCTGGCCCTGCTGTGATCTGGGACTGGGACAAATAGACTCAAAGCATCATGAAATCACTGGGGCTCTTTCCCTTGATGTCAGTAGGCTTTGGGATGGCCCTTTGAGAACCAGTTCATCCTCGGCTGCTCCTGCCTGTGCGCACCACAGAGGTAGATTAATGGGCTGAGGCCAAAGAAGTGCCTCCAGGTTCCTGCATGGAGAGCACGTCAGCCCTGATTGCCTGCAGAGATGTATTACTATTCCAAAGCATTTCCCTCAAGCAACACATATGCCAAAAGTGAGATGCAAATTCAAGTGTGTAGAAGCAAACCAGAGTTTATTTCCCATTCTGCTGTCATACGTGGCTTCTTTTGTCTCCATTTTCCTCTGGTAAACATAAACCTTTTTTTATTATTTTTTAATAAAATATATAAAACATTGTGAATTGCTATCCATAGGAAAATTGTAGTTTAACAAAAAAAAAAAAAGAATAAGGCACATTCCTGTGCAGCATCTTCAAATATATATATATATATACATATATATTTAAAACAAAAAACAAAAAGAAAACCCTTTTAAACCTCTCTGAGGTTGTTAACATCTCACCAATCACTGACACATCTCTTATATTATCATAATTTCACTGTTGGAGGTGGGTTGTTTGACAGGGGCCAGCAGGGAGAACGGACTCAAAAAAATAATAGGATTTTATCCCTGAGGTGTCAGTAAAAAAAAAATGCTCCCATTGAAAAGGAAGATGAAAAGACAGCCATAAATAACTGTGTACATTATGGCAAACATCCAAGCACCGAGATGATTTCACAATGGAAGAATCCCCCCTCTCCCCCCTCCCCATTCCCTAGTTCTTAACAAGTCATATTTGCTGTTGGGTTTTAATTAGGTTAATCTCATGGCTTCTGAAGTCACAAGACAGTCAGTCAGGATGTACCTCCCCCTCCCTTGCCAAATCATTTTCCAGATCTGCAGTTTTGTTCACAATTATCTCAAAATCCTCAGGAAAGGGAAATCAAAAAAATCCAAAATCAAAACCAAAACCTGGATGACTTCTCTCCCCAGCAAAGAGAGGAGCAATCGTACCGCAGCACACCAAACTCAAAGTCCCACATGGGAGGATGTGAATTGTCAGCTCCCTGCCTACAACTAAGAAATGAAGTTGGAAACCACCTCTGTTGTAACCAGAAAGTCTCCATGAAGAGGAGCGATAGCAATATGTCAGAGAAAAGGAGATAGGGAAAGCTTTATTGCTGTCCATCCACACTGCACCACGTAGCACTTCTGAAAGGAAAAGGGGAGACATCCATGTAATACTCCTTCCCTTCCTCTGCTCTTCATCAGGCATGGAGAAGCCCCAGGCTGCAGTGCTGGACTGTCGGGATTCCCCATCTCTTAGTAGTAACGGTTCAGGCTCCTGGTCCCTGGGATGTCCGGCTGGCCATTCATCCAGATCTCCCGGATGATGCGCTCCCGCTCCTCCAGCCGCTGCGCTCGCTCCAGCTCCTCCGCTGAAGTGAAGACGTTCATGTTCAAAGTCCTCTCGAACCTGCGGTGCCTGCGGGCCGACAGGTCCGAAGTGGTGTCTGAATCGTCGTCACTGTCGCTGCTGTCACTCTCCCGCTCCCGGGGAGGCTTTTTTGCAGACGAACGTTTGCAGTCAGTTCGGCAAGACACCTTTAGCACCAAGGCCAGAAGGGTCAAGACGAGTCCAATGCACACTCCAGAGACAAAATACAGAGCAGCCCGCTCAGGGTTTTCTGAAAGAGGAAAGGAAGTGATTATCAGAGACGAAAATCCCTTAAAGCACACACAGGTTCTCTGTGCAAGTACCTGCAATGGTCTCTGGAGAGGCAGAGTTTCTAATGGTTCCTTATGCTTCCAAGCCTTCCATTGCTCTCCACAGGGAAATCAGGAAGGGTGGATTTGCTGCCAAGTCATTTACCCATATGCAGAGTGTGGGTTAGCAACAGTTATGTCTTAGAGTTGTCTGGAATCAAAAGGAGCAGCCCACAGAATTAAATGCTGATTTCAGTGGCAGCGCAAGTGGGATTGAGATGAGGATGCTGTGTACTCAGCAACAGCTAAGTGTACCTTTCTGCCACATCCATTATCATTGTACGAGGATTAAATGTGATTATAAAGCTTTGTGCACTCTCTGAGCTGTGGTCAAGCTGAAATGGCAAGCCTTGCAGCACGCAAAATTGCATATTATTTATTCATAGGTTTTATTTGGTTATCTAAGGCAAGTGTGCTGGCTTTCTGCCCAGACACCCAAAATATATACCTGTGCTACAGAAGCATAATTGGAGGTAGCACACTAACAGGATGGATCCTGCATAACAACATTTCAGAGGTGATATAAGACTCCAAAGGATCCACAATGCTTTTTAAATTAGGTCATCTTGTTTATTTACTGTTATTTTTTGTTCATTCGACTTCTCAGAAGCATAATTATGATAAACGTTACTGCAGTTTCCCTAGGCTGAACCATCTCATTACATTCCAGGCTTATGGCTACGCTTGAAGGGAGAAAATGAACCAAGAAGAAGTGCCAAGGCCCTCTGTACTCAACTGTGTCTGGTGGAAGTTCTGAAAAGAACTCGAGGATGGAGTTGGTTCCTCAGATGAGTCCATCACCCTGCAACTTGATGATGGACCTGCGACAGTTCCCACCAGCTGAGAAAGAACCCTGTGACTAAATGGCTCCACTCTATCTTCACTTTCTCCACTGTGCCTTTAGAAATTGACTTCTCCGGCTGGTTTCCTTAAAGCAAAAAGTTTGCAGATGTTGAACTGGAAACTATCTGAATATATTTAAAACTCAACAGGACATGACATTAAGCAACCTGCTCTAACTTAAAAGTTGGCTGTAAATTTGAAGTCAGCCATGTTCTGAGTAGAAGGTTGGTCCAGGTGAATTCAGAGGCCCCTTCAAGCCTAAATTATTATTACGATTCTGTGGTCAGAACCCAAACACGGATCTGTGCACAGTTCAAAACTGTGTGAAGGTCATTGCCTGGAGATGCTCATGGCACAGTTATAGGCAGTTCCTTTTTGCTCTGCACGTTCTCTCTAACCAAAGGGATCTAAAAGATGACTGGTAGGCCAAGGGCAAGGAAGATGTTGTGCAAGTCTGAAATCCAGCTAATAAAACGTGAGACTGTAGTAGAGCAGTTAGAGCAGAGGGCATGAGAAAAAAATAGCCTGAAAAGGGTCTACAACAAAAAGGGAGGAGAGAACTGCAACTGATGTGTTCAATAAGTCCATAAAAAGAGAGGAAAGAAATGCAGCAGCAGATGGAAAAGGAAGTGAGGCCAAGGCCAGAGGTTTTAAGCTAAGATATTTTGACAAGAGAGAGCCAGCAAAAAGCCAAAGGTAAAGGAGAAGAGAAGGAATGAGAACAGGCATGAAGGATGTGCCAATAGCTCTTGTAGAAGTCTGGCTGAGTGAAATCCCGGCTCCAGTGAAATTAATAGGAACACTGAATTCAAGGGACAGAACTTCATTTAAAACTGCAGCCCTACCTATGCAGTAGCACAGACATTGTCTCTGGTACTGTGTAAACAGTATAGTAGTGACCTCAGTTCCAGAGATTCAGAAACCCCAGGAAAACTGGAACCATCCCTCTTACTGTTTTTACCTCCAGGTGCAATATAATCCAGGACATTAACTGAAGAGCTTTCTTTACAAATACGCCCAAGAAAGGCTCCAGGGACACTCAAAATGGGAAGAAAAAACGAGCAGGACTGGTCAGTTTGCCCTGGAAGACGTTCAGTCCAGTCTGCCTCCTCTCTGCTCGGCTGTTAGGATGCCAGGCACACTTTTCTGCGCGCCACATTCCTGCACACACATGGGCTTGATTTGCTTCTGTTAGTTACACTGCTCACGCTTTTAAAGCAACTCATAAAAAAACGCAGACTGGAGCCTGAGACACAGGCACATGTGGTTTCTCTTCCCCCGTTTTTGTCCATGTCTTACTTTTCCTTTCTCCTCCACATTCCTTTTTCCCTGCCACTGTATACAGCTCATGAGCAAGCTGCAGCTCAATTGCTAGTTAAGCAACCATTTTTCATACTCAGCTTGTGCCTGTATCCATAGTCCTTCATTCAGTGAGATGGCTGTAATTGAATCTTTGGGCTCCACTGGCATTTATGAGCTCCTACAGCTACTCTGTCAACATCTGAGACACACTGCCTGGACTTCTTCACTGAGCTGTAACCCTACGTTCAGCTGCAGTCTTGCCATTTATCATACATACAATCTACTCACATAGCAACATCTCTCTTTGCACACCGAAAGAGGAATTTAAGCTTAAAATCAGGGGCTCTGCTTTTTCTCACTTGAAGTAGCCAAGTCAGCAAGAGCTTGGATCTGGGGTTTTGACACCTGATTAGTGGTTTTGAGAGACTCCCCCACAGGGTGTCCTACTTGCAAAGACCAAAAAAGGGGTTTTCTCTTTAGAAAATGAATGCTCAGCATCTTCCAAAAACTTGATGGTGTTTCAGATTCATCATCCAGATACTGAAGCACCTCAAAACACTTGTTATATTGGAAAATACTCTTTAAAGGGGTATGTATATAAGTAGCAGGCCTTAATACAGTTTTGATATGCATGCATTTGTGTGTGTATACTATTATACCCTTTAACACACAGATTTTGGCCAGTATAGCTTTTTCTTCCACTGCTGTGGATGACAGCTCAGAGCTATGTTTTTCTCCTAAACTTTTAGCAGAATCAAGCTGCTGTCAATCTCTTTAGCTGGGGTTACCTTTCCCCTACTTGTTATTTCTCTTTCTGGACTGAAAGCATTGATGAAAATGTCACTGATTCAAGCCTGCATTTAATCCATGCAGGCAAAAGATATATGCTCTTTATAACCCTTTATACAAAGCCACCATTTTCTAGGTATTCAAACTGGCCAAAAATTAGAAACACATTTTATTTTGTTTTTCCAACTAAACCAGCAGCAATTACAGAGCCTGTTTCCTGAGGGCTAACAATCTGCTGGGAGCATCAGCCCAGACTGCCATTAATTCCCCAGGAAATGCCCTAGGCCAAGGTTGTTATTGCTATTATAATAAATTGTTCCAATAAATAAAAACCAATCTAGGCATTAACGCAGTTGGCTTCCTGTGATGGCTTCATGCATTCAGAAACCTCAGTGGGGAGGGGAATTTCAGAGGGCCTCAGTAAAAGGTTCAGCATTAAGCATAGTCAGACAAACAGTAGGAACAATACCTTCTGGGGAATTTACAGTTAGCCCCACAGGCTGCTGAAATCCCCTGGTAGAACAGAGGAAGCTCTCCAGGAGCCCCTTATTAATATGGCTCAGACCAAGCAGTCTAAAAATTGGAATGATCTCCCCCGGGCTGTTTTTTGGAAGCCCCTTGTTAATAACTTGGCAGCACAGCTTTGCTTATGGGAGGAGAACAGAGATTTGTGGAGGTTTTCCTCCAACTACTTCAGCATGAATGCAACAGCAAAACTGGAGTAAGTCCTCTGTCCAAAGGGAGATATTAGAAGTGCTCTGATATGACTTGGCCACTTAATACTGATACAAAAACAAGGCATGGTTCTGGTCTTGCGGGTAGGCTGTGACTGCAAAGACAGTTCTAGCTGTCACTGAGATCAGCAAAGTCTTTCCAAACCATCAGACAGCCTTTGGATCAGGTCCATAACAAAAAACAGGGCTGAGGTTTCAGGCAAGGATTGCATATAATTAAAAAACTAATTCTATAAAGACAATAACTTTCAAATTAAGGGCATCTCTGAGTTCTTTGCAGGAATGAGCCCTAAATCAAACTTCTTTGTTTGGTCCCCTCACCTGACAAATTCATTCCTCATTGATATTGCTCGCTCTTTCTTTCTATTTCTGAATAAATGCTGTTTTCAAGGTTCTGGAAGCTAGGATGACACTAACACCTAACTGGTTTGATACTCCTAACAATAACATCAGCTGCTAACAGATTTGATGGTGAAAATCAACACTTCTGCAAAAAGGCTTTGCTTCCTGCTGTGCTGTGACTTTTCACTCCTTGGTCATCAGTAGAAACATTCCCAACTTTTATATGGGGACTTCAGCCAAAAGGACGGTGAAAACAAGCACGGAGGCTCTCTCTAATGTTGGTATTTCTCCATTCTGTGCACTGGAAGACCCTACTTGTGCCAACAGTGCAAGGGACAGGTGACTGCAGGGTCTTCACCCTCTGCTGCGCACCTAAACCTGTTGTTCTGTACAGTAAAGGCCTACAACAATGAGCAGAGAGGGGGTCCCCACGGATTTGTGGATGTTCTCCCTAGGCTAAGAAACACCTCCCTGTCTGGAGACAGGAAAAGGAGTAGAGCGGATTGTCATTTCAGGTGTGCACTTGACCCATCAAATACCAAGTGTCTGTAACTTCCTTTTCCTGGAGTGGATCTGAGGGCATACACCATCTTCTGTCCCAACAGAAAATACATCTTTATATATCACCCCTGCCCACTTACAATTTTCTCTTGCAAACTTGTTCTGAGCCAACTCATCAACCCAGGGAAGTCCTGAATACAGTAGTTTCAGTATCCATCTTTTACCTCACGCATGACCTTTTTGGTGCCATGAAACAGAGGAGTTCTTGCACTAATGTTTCCCTTTGGTGCAGAGGCTGTGGTCAGGAGCAGTGGGAAGATGTTTGAATCGGCCCTCCCTGTTCACCCTACACCCTGCCTCTCCTGAGCTACCATAAGGGCTCCACTGTGGACATCAGCAGCTGCTGTGGCTTCAGCTGCTTTCAGCGCCCTGAACTCAGACAAGCACAAAAATTTCCAAGTGTTCTGTTGCTCAAAATCTGCAATAGGACTGGTGAGAGCTTTGTAGTGCTCTAGTTTTCTGCCAATGATATTTGTGCCCTGTGACACTGCTAGTCTTTGAACGCATCATCTAAATCACTTCATATTCACATATAATAAAATAAACCAGGCCAAATCCATCCTTTCCATTAAAAATAGAGGGCTAAATTACACAAAGCAGATAAAGATGGTTTAGGGCATCTGTTATTTCAACCAATGAGGCAGCCGTCACTTATTTTTGTAATAAGTAACCAACTTAACATATATGTCATTGAGACTAAAATTCATCTAAAAGCCATGGTTAAGTGCACTGGAAAACATTAATAAGCTCCTGAACTCATCACTGGAAATTAAAGTTGTGATATCTGAGCTTTACCTATTTGGCATCCAGAAGATCGGAACACATCACAGGGAGACCACACTGTGAAAGGGCAAGCAAATCTGACAGCAATAGGACAGTTAAAGCTGTCATTATTTATTATTTGCGTTGCAGTAAAATCTAGATGCTCCTGCCAAGACTGACACCTTGTGAAGGGGATGAATCGAGGCCTTTGTGCCTTACAAAATAAATAAAAACTCAAAGCATGCTACTGTGGTAGGTGGAAGTGAAGTCCATGGGGCACAGTCAACAGTCCTGAATCCCAGTCCCAGCTGTCCCCTGCCATAATTCCTGCAACCTTCTGCTGCCTATTACTGTTCAGATGAGGAAAGTATGTTAACAGCATTTTATTTTATAGTAGGTTTGGGAATGCAGACGCTTTCATGTCAAAAATGGCAGCTTCAGGTAAGAGAGGGGAGAAGTGTAATAGAAGATTAATTCAAAGTTTGTTTTTCCAGAAGTCCACGCAACAAAAATATATCATATTCAGTCATCATTTGTGAAGAGCGTTATTGCTTCCATTAAAGCTGTCTGCTTCTTGAAGGTGACATGAAAAGTCAGGTCCTGAAGCTATCATGTGACATGCAGAGGGGCAGAACCTTGGGTTTACCATTCATGGTTTTTTTTAGAAGGAACCTCCACTAAATGTACAGTAATGTTCTTACTAACTACTAACCACTGTCAAAATGCCATAGGTGGTTTCAAATCCAATTACTTGTCTGTAGTACCGTGGTGGTAATCTGAGCAAGCGCATGCGCCTGATACCAGGAATGAATTAGCATCTACTGAATAAGCACATAAAGACATAAAAAGCTATGGCTAACAAGTACAGGAGTTTTAGTTATATAGACCCCAACGCTACAGAATCACCTGACTGCATTAGTGTGGTGCTAGCAGACTTGGGGCAGTACACAGAATTATTTGCAGCAAGTAGTGAAAGAGCAAGACATGAATATTACTGGCTAGGTGCATACAAATATTTCGCTAAACAGATGAAGAACAGCTTTTAGTCCCATAAGGAAAAGCTACTACAAAAAGCTTGTCCTGCCTTTGGAGACTAGTTACACAGAAACCAGGGCCCTCCTTCTCAGGAAAGCAGCAGAGAGTGGCCTAAAATATGCTCAATTAGTGCAGCTGGTGCTACTCAGCCTGCGCTCCTACTTCTTTTAGGTAGGCTCCTTCAGCTCTATAGGCAATCTCTACTGGTGGCAAGGTTCTCATGCAATTGCAGGATGGGAAATTATTGCACTACATCATCTGTCTCTGCTGGACTTCTTGCTACCAGTGGCATTGAGCCCAAGGACTGAATAAGGGGCACAGTTTTTATGTCAAGAGCAAATGTTTAAAGTAAATTTAAATAGAAGACAGCTCCTCTGTTACTTGAAAGATATACGTGGGTGAAAGATAAACAGTCATCAAGGGAAATCTTACTCCAAACCAGATTCAAATATACAATTAAGCAGATTCTCAAGTTACTTCATCTTCACACTTCTACTGAAGATAAGCCAAGTTCTCTTAAGCAGGGTAATGCTACTCATTTTCCAAATTACAGGACAACAAGCTTGCCTCCCTAAGGAGCCAGCCTTTGATCTCCAGGAAAATGGAGCATTAGGAATAATATCATATGTAAGATTACATTATATTTAACTTCATATAAGAGCAAGTCTGGGGGAAAGTAGAGCACAGTAAACCCTGTTATATACTATCTGCTAGAGCTGCTCTGGTCAGGTCTTTCAAGGGAGAACTTGCCGAGAGACTAATGGAAAATACAAACAGTTCACAGGGGCAGATTTAGCCCTAGGTGACTGTGAAATGTAGACCCAATTGAGGGTCTACAAAGAGCTTGTGAGAGCCCAGACAGGTTGCAGCCAGAAGACCTACCTGTGATAAAGGAGTACGCTGCTAGGATGTTGCTGAGCAGTGCCATCTCCGTGCTAACGCCCATGGGCTCCATGCTGCTGTTGAACGCTGGCGATTGTGTCTCATCCACAGGAAGCAGGAAGGGAGTGATTTCTAGCGGGTAGAAGGTAGCTGATCTCCCTTTCTTCTTCTCTGCTTTGGAATAGAAAGGGAATGAGAAACGAGGCACGTGCCCCAGCCCTGTCCTGCCCTATCCCCACAAAGTCAGCATCTGCTCAGCAAAAACCCACCCAGATTTCCCTATTTTTGGCTACTAAATCTTCTCAGTTAGGTTCAGCTGAACACAGGCAGTGTTTGTATCCAGACAGCATCTTCTCTCCCCCGTCTCCTGCTCTTTCATGTCACCACTTAGACACACCCACCTACGTTTACAGCAAATATATAATCAGGTTTCTTTTCTTTTATGTAAATCAAAGGAGTTTTTATCAACAGTGATTTCAGCTAAGCTTGCAATAACTCAGCACACCGGCTTGGAAAACACAGACAGAGTCGGCAACCCTCTGCCGGTGTCACACTGTAACTCTGTAGTGATCCATCCACACCTGGCAAACAGAGCTGCTTTCTCTCCAGCCTTCTCAGGGAAGGGCGGATCTGAGTTTATGACTTCCTTCAGAAGCCTGCTCGCATTGTGTTTCACCCAGACATCATTTCCCCTTTGGAGAGGTGAGCGAACATGGGTTAATGATTTGATTTTATTTGTCGAAGACTAGAGCTAAGAAGGCAGCTAATTCCAGGAGGCTCAAAGAGACCCTTTCAGACCTTATCAGCTCACTGCTGAGTACTCCCTGCACCTTGATCTGCAGGCAGACACCCCCACTAGTCACAAACCATTAATTGTTTTAAACACACACAAAAATTGGTGCACAGGATACAGATCCATCACCCATGTGATTGTTTCATTGCAGTTATTACACATTTTCCAGCTTCCTTCCCTGGGATCTGGTTCTCACCAAAAAAAAAGCAAGGCACCAGAAAAATCACAGAATTGCACCTGGCTTCTACTTATCTGCAAGTATTAAATTCCGGAAACTGTCAGGTCCATCTCATATAATACCATCAGCGCCGTGCAAGCAGAGGCACCTTGGGAGCAGCCACAGAGCACAAATGTCTGCTCCCTGGCTGCCCGACCCACCTGCAATCCTGACAAACCCAGTACAGCGAGCCATCACGTTCAGCTTCACGCCTTGCATGCCAGGAAGTGGCTCAGCCCAGGGAAACAACTAACAGGCATTTAGGGGTGTCAAAGAGAACAGGTAATACAGGATGGAGAGGGGTTGTGTGCACAAACGTGTGTACAGCAGTGCCAACTCCTAATCTGCCTCAGAGGAGACACAGTGGTGATGGATGTCCAGGTGTTACTGCGAGGGATTAGCCCCAAGGAATGCGGGCGCTGTCGTATCTCTGCCACTGAATAGCTGCATGGCCTTGGGAAAGCCACACATTACAAGCTACCGAGGTGTTAATAACTGGCCCCCAAGCACAGTTTTCTGACATGAATGCCTCGGTGGCAGATCCAAAAGGGGAAAATATCCAAAGAATCTGAGAGGTTTAGGAGCACAGAGATCACTGAAAATCAGTTTTACAAATGGAGGCACTGAGGCACAGAGAGAAAAAGGCACATTCAGCAGG